TCATCACCGCCCCATGGCGGCCATGGCCACGGTGGCCAGACCCGTAGGCGTTCCTCATGAACGAGCAAAGCAGTCGACGGTGTCGGCTCATCAGCCGTTTCCTCAGAGTACTGCTCTTCTTCATCAAAATTGAGGAGGAGACGCTCCAGAACGGTCTGATAAAGCTCGGTAATCGATTCTTCATTGTAGTACTCCTGTACAAAATTCAGATAAGCACGTGCATGAACGATAAATACGAACCTTGGATGGGAGGCCGAGGTCTGACTGACTGAACCAAATAGTCATGTAATTGGGATCTCTGCCAACGTCGCCCTCAATATCTACCGCAAATAATCCAGCAATACCTAAATACGGCAGATGAGGCAAATGATTGACCGTGACCTCGTAACATACGTACCACGGGTATGCATAAATGCGATCGCAGCCGTCAAGTCTTCTTTCTGCTCATCTTCCTCATGTTGTGAGGTATTGCCATGGAACAGCTTCCTGATCCGGCGCGTGACCGATGCCAGAGGTTCCGCGCCAAGCTCACTCAACCCATCCTCATCCATGCACGACGAGTAGAGACCACGAATCTTCTTCAGAATTTGTTCATCATATGGAGAGCCCATGCTTGACGGAGCATACGACGGGTCAGATGCAAGGATTCGCTGAAGCACCTGCCTATTCTGTTGGGCGAGAGCCTCGAAGTTACCGAATGAGCCCTTGTCAGAAGGTATAGGGTGCGCCTTCAGCCAGCCACCGTCTGCACCGTTGCTTAGCGCTTACAGAGCAACAGTAAATGGTATACGCACTGGCAAAATCGTAGAAGTTCTCGCACGGATCGAGACGCCAGGATAGACGAGGACAACGTGATGCATTGTGCAGTCAGACATTCGGCCTATTGACATTCTCGTTGTCAAGGCATTCGAGCGCCATTCTACAACAAGACATACCTCTACAGGAGGACTTGTAGGCTCGAGACCTGGCATCGTCACTGCGCTCGTCGACACGATAGTCGACGTGGCCGTGGAAAAGGCTGTGGATACGCTTGTGGATATCGCAGTAGCTGTCGTCGTTGATATTGCGGTAGAAGTCGCAGTAGACGTGGCTACTGATGTAGCCGTAGCCATAGCAGTAGACGTAGCAATAGACGTTGCGGTTTGCGTCGCCGTTTCAGTCAGAATAGATGTGACTGTAACTACTGGCTCCTTGCTCGAGTCTCCTCCTCCGTCCCCTGAGCCTCCGGCGTTCAGCTTGTGCTGTGCCCCCGCGAACAGGCCGATGAAGACTGAACTGAGCAACAGGAAGACCAGCGCGACGACCAGCAGCGCTTTCGTGAGCGGTGTGAGCGGTTCCTGCACAAGAGAGGCGAAGGGAGATCGAGGTCGCGGTCGCTGCTGTTCGCCATCTGGGTAGTCGACGCTCTGCAAGAGGGATGCGGACTCTGCATCAAGAAGGGACGATCCATTCGGTAAGGTCACCATGATCCACGAGACGTATATTTCTGGTGCTAACCTTCGTCCGTTGACGGTCGGACCTGCCTATGGTCCGCCATTTGGGCGACGCGCGGCGACGACTGCCTTGAAAGACGGGGACAAAGAAGTGCGCACGCTTTACGTCCACAACCTGTGTGAAGGACGGCAGGCGGCAGGCAGCGCCTGGTCGCCGCAGTGTCCGCCTGCGAAGCGATCTCACGTGACCGCACCTTTCGCGACGCGTTCACGATGAGTCTCGGAGTCTCCGAAGAGCAGACAAGCCACCGAGCACTAGCATTCTTGAAGGTTTGCATTCATCAAATAAACCTATCCCGTTGATTCGTAGACTCACGTCCGCTCTGCCATGCAGATAAACTTGAAGCAACAACGCTAGGAAACGAGACTTGCGATAGTCTTTGTGACGCTGCCGAGTACCTTGATATAGTGTCATGTTTGCGCGAGGCGAGGCCGGCAACTTTGGCTGCGATGATGAGATACGCATCACGTGACCGCATAATGTGACGCGTTTCGCCACCGACGCTTGACCGACGCGGTACGCACCGTCCGTCCCTCGAGCGTCACTTTAAATCGACCTCAGATAGTCGAGCAGCACGGAGACACGTTGAATTTATGAGCATACATATTCAAGGAACATGTAGGCTTGTATTGGAAAGGCAGATGTAATTGCAATGAGACAGTGATCTCACAGCCTGGTTTTGCACTCATCTCGATTACTGTCCTCCGCCCGGCGCAGCAACTTACGCATCATCTCTACCCATTCGTCCATACCGCCCTCGCCAACACCGCGCACCCACTCGTCCGCCTCACCGAGCCGCTCCAGGTCCCGCCATTCTGCTCTCAGCACGTCACGCTTGTCATACATCTCGCGCATCCATGCAGGAACGCGATCCTCCTCGCCGATCCATCCATGTAGCTCGTCGCGATAGTCGAACTGCTCTTGCGGCGCGAAGACGTACTACATACCAAGAGTGGTCGTCGTGCACCAGCGGTCGTGTCTTCGCACATTCACCATAGCTTGCTCGTCGAAGATGGTCGCTAGCGATGGCCTCAAGTCTGAAAGTGCGAGCTCATCACGTTGGCTAGACTCTGTCGAGGGAGAAATCGCCTTCCGTGCTCTGATGCGCGCAAGACCTGTAGGCATCCACCGCCACTTTCATGTCCTCACATTGCGCAACGCAATTCCCAGAGATACCGGCACATAGTCTCGATAGACGAACTATGGGATAAGCTAAGGGCATGCTACGACCTAGAGATTTTGGACAATATAGTAAGAGCGAAACACAACCATTGCGTCTTCGTGATTGATCAGTTGCCAGTGTTAGGGGACAGACGGCTATGATCCTCCTGGGTACTACAATTTACCATCCCCGTCGGCCGTGCCCCTTCGATCCCCGTCTCCGTGAGAACATCTACCATCACATCCATGGTTCCGCCATGAGTACTCGCTCCCGTCCGATGAGGCATTTGATACCCTCATCTCTATGCGAGGCATACGAGCGACTGCTTCTCTGCCTTCGTCCTCGCCGGCTGCCTCACCTTCACACCATGCCCGAACGATGTCCGAGACGCGTCAGACTAAGAAAGGACGGAGCAAATTGAAGAATGTCGCCGGTCTTGTTGGAGGAGACAGCGACAGTAGCGCGTTGACGCAGGAGAGCGGTGACGAAAGTGCTGTTCCCACAGCCAGCCTTGCTACAGGGACGGACGTTGGCACTGACTACGAGACGATGAAGATATGGGTGTACGGGATTCCCCAGGTGAGTCGCCTTCGTTATTTGGCCAACATACTCGTCAGGGCATCTATAGGCTCATCCTTAGCATCCAGGCAAGCCAGAAGAGCAGGGAAAGCTTCCAGGAGAGGTAGTGCTGAAAGTCGAGGACGAGGTGCTTCCACGGCGGGAGGCCGAGGCGTAAAGCGCAAAAAGAAGTAGTGTGTATCTGACACTTTAGTCAAGTCTCGGAAAGAGAAGTGAGAATGATATTCCGACGATTGGGAGTCGTCAGGTACAAGTTTGGCGCTTGCAAGTCAATCCAAGGTCAGTTGGCGCGTCAGACATTGAGCAGACAGACACGGTCGCGCATAAATGAATTGCGCAGACAGACATGGTCGCATATAACTGGATTACACAATTTATGGGTGTGTATCTGAACAAATTGAAGCCGTTCTACAGTAGCAGTAGCACAAAGCCTCGACGTCTGACTTCATTCCTCCTCGTCGACCTGGCGGATGCTTAGGAGCTTGCACTCTACATAATCGTTTAGTTTCCATCAGTCCATTCCGCACCAGGATGACTCACGGAAAAACAATGTGCTGTTAGGTGGTACAACGCCGTGCGGGCGATCGCCGTGTCCCAGCGCCGGAGGTATTTTGATGAGACGTTCGCCCCCAACTTTCATGCCCACGATGCCTCGGTCAATCGCTGCATAGATTAGTGCTACAGGAAGCCAATTTAACGACCCAACAAACCTGGAAGAATCGCGCCTTCGCCCAAGACTAACACCATCTAGATGACATTTAGTAATACTGCCACATTCTCACGTCACGAAAGACGCACCGGTGTTCCCTCCATTCGGGATTCAAGGATAACATTATTGGCTAGTTGCAAACGATACCATACTTTCACCTCATCTCCACGAGTAGCCCGTAATTCCCCTGTACCAACTTTGTGATCTCTGATCACAACGGCATCAGCGTCCAACGTGGAGGGACCAGACACCGGAGTTTCGACATGAAGATTCCACGTCTGAAAGTCGAAGGTGGACGGGCCAGGTCCAGTCAAGACAGCGCTTGTCGGTGCGGGGGATGCAGCAGCGGAGGATTCCGAGGCGAAACCGTCAGTTTCGTCAGTCGAGCTTGCCAGTCGCTATACCACCATTTAGAATGATGTCAGTTTAGTAAGTGCACAGTTGCTTACACGTCGCTTTCCGGCAGTTGTAGATGGGAACGAAGGCGAAGGCAATGCAGCGATATAACTTCGGCTCGGTTGTTGCGGAGGCTTCTTGCTCGGTGTAAGGCTGACGTGCGATGAAGCCGGAGTACGATCCATGGTTCCGCTAGGAAGGGTACGGCCGGGTTTGGTAGGGGTTATCAGTGATTCTACCCTTGCACGCTTTTTATCTTTCTGTGCACTGACAACAGGGGGTTTCATCGGTTGCGTCACGCTACGGCCATCTAAGCATACACGCGCAATGAAACATGAGCACGACAATCTTACGAATTGCTCGCAGGAGCAGCCTTGTTTGAAGATGTCGTGCTTTCAGAGGATGTAACTGAAGAATATATGCATCAGTATGAATGCGCATCATGACGTAGCAGCGTCCGCTGACCAGTGAAGTTCCCGGAGAGGCAGATGCAGCTGTAGAGCGGCAGATATGAGAGTGTGAACCACTGGTAGCGCTTTTGCTCACTTATTTCCTATAACTTCAAAAGCGATATATTCTTTCGCCGCGAGCGTAACATTCAAGGTCAGATGCTCCACCTTCGTTATGCGAAGTAAGCCGAACCGGTGAATGAAAGAATATAACTGCATGTTCACCTGTCGAAGGGCCATTGTGAAGAGCAATACCCTCTCATTCCTGTCAGATGATCCAAGCACTGGAGAAAGGATACCGGACGGAGTGAGATGCATCATCCAGACGGAAGTTCGGCCCGACGAATTGGTATCGGTGCTGGGGTCACCAACGACAAGAGCGACATTTGTCAGATGCAGATCATAGCCATCGGGTATCAGAAATGTGCTGCGTCCGGGACGTAAAGTAGTACCCCTGCTATAAAGTCAAGGACGATCTGGTCCTGCAGCTGGTCTTGAAAACGTACCAAGAAGCGACGACTTGGGCAATGGACATGCTGTCGCCGAGTTGTGTGGGCTTCCTGAAGAGTGTGCGCATGACTTTATAGAAACAGTACAATGACAGTGCATGCTATTATCCACCACCTTGAGCACAATGATTATGTAGGCTATTATCTCCCCACCTTAGAGCACAATGACAGAGTTGGCATGTGGTCAGTCACGGTACTAAGTCACGACCTCGGTGCTTACGGAGTCTGAGGTACCGCACACAT